CTTGAGTCGAGTGCATAAGCAGAACGTCTCTGGCTTATGATGTACGAAGCATTCACGGCATTTCAACACTTTTTCCATATAGCGCTGGCTAGTGCCTCGTAAATGAACAGTTCCGCTTCAACAGCAGATCTGCCTCTACCGGACTCCTCCAGACTGCATGTTAGTCCCCTGGTCAACGCCTGCCGTGTTTCGGTTCCAATAAATCATTCTATAAGTGGTCCAGCCATTTAACCCTCATTATACATCCAAGGAAACGCTGTTGTATGCGGCTCAACATGCGGTTCAACCGTCGTTCTTGCTTTTTCGTTAGAACAACTGTCTCCGTGCCGTAAATGACAACTGACTGCTCGAGGTAAAGAAAAGGCAGAGTCTTGAAGAAAGAATTACCCTTTTCTCAGCCTAAATGCTTAGCAGGTTACCAAAAGCAATGGAGGAGAGGGCGATATTCCTATTTAACGCTGATTAAATAGTTTCGTCGCTGGAGATGACTGAGCTGAGATATTTAAACTGGTAGACTTTCTCTAGGATTTTTCCTAGCGTTGTTCTATTACTAGATCGGTCACATGTCGAGTCGATCGGTTCCTCATAACCTTCGACTTACAGGGATTAAGGCAGAGGTGGCTTCTTTCCTAAGCAACTTCTACTTCTACAACGGGACTAAAGATGATGTCAAAACTTGTTGCTAAGGGACGCTTCCGAAAGGTACACATTTCGCCATCAGTGTTCTTTTCTGCGAAGCTAAGATACATGTGATAACTGACCTAATGCCTTGCCTCATTACTCGTTCGTTTAAACGGTTGTTGTTGACTGTCAAGAAGAAGAGCCAGGATATGATAAATTTTGGATCGAAATGATCAGAATAGTAATCGTTCTGGTAATACGATTGGTGGTATCGAAAGCTGTATGACTATAACTATTAAAATCTATTCAATCGCCATTCCATTTTATAACTTGACCAAGATATCACTTTTAGACCTTGTATGATTCTCGTAAGCGATAGGTGAGCGTTAATCAAACAAAGTTGCTTAAAAACATGAATCAATTCGCCGTGAAATCTTATCTTTGAGGAGTTATGAGTCAACTGATATACTGCGGTGTAAGAATGTATTTTCTAATGCTTACGCGGCATCATACGCGGAAACGTTTTTTTGTAAGGAGCATGCTGTTGCCTCAGCAAGCGAAACAATGCGACGTACATATGACTCTGCAAGTATTCAAATACCATGTAGCAGTGGCCTAGTTAAACGAACCCCCTCGGCAAATCCGAGCAATGGAATCAAGCCTTGCAGTGGTTACACGCCAACTGACATAAATAAATGGATTGCGTTAATGGTACGCAATCTTCGTTCAACATGTCGCAATCTGCACTTGATCAACTTGTCTACATGTCTCAAACGCCATAAAATCCTTTCTTTATTCTTATGAAGTAAAAAATTACATATATAACAATGATATTGAATCTTCCTGCTGATTCGATGCTGTAAATAATCACTGCTGCAAACCGCGTGGTCGGCATCTGTTTTCATGATTAAGCATCAGAAGAAGAACTCCATAGAAATTTTGCCGCACAAACAATTCCGTCAAGTCATTATTACAAGATAATAAAAGAAGAATTTATCTCCAATACGAATGAAATGATCCGCCTTGTAAAGTGCTTTATATTGCAATTATGTTAAACTTACAGTAATGCGCTATCGTTCTTCCAGTCCGTTCACCGTTACCTTCATGTCTGTACAGTGTTCAATCTGTCCAAAACGACCACCGCGAAATAAAATGGTTTTACTAGTCTGGGCTCCAAAATGTAGATTCAAGAGACTTTCATATATTAAAAATTATCTGAGAGCACCGAATCATCAGAAGATCATTATCAACTTGGTTTGAACTTCAGAAAATTCAAAAATTACATATTTAGTCACCTCATTCTTACCATAATCTATTCGCGTTTCAAAAATATCAAGTGAGCTACAGTGTTTAGTAAATAACTGAACGTCTGAAGGATGTAGTTAATGGGCCTATTTCATACCTGGAACGAGTTTATACGATGGACAAATTTTTCCATTCGACCCGGTTTTTTCTGTTTCTACAGCGATTTCACGTGATTCACGCTTCCGAAAATAATATCCTGTACACTCCAATCCGTCCTGTTCTAAACGCATAACACTGGTGTTCGAAATTGCAATCTCTGAACAGACTGTGGATTCCGTCTTTGGTACAGGCACAAAGTACGAAGTAATAGCGCGCTGGCGGTATGACGTGCTTCTAGCCAATTTAACAGT